TGCCAACGGTTGTAGTAATCCTCCTGGAGCCATGACTATGCATTTGTTTCTCTAGCACACTTTACACCTTACCATAATCTCCTCAACATCTTTATGCATTCTCTTCCAGTAAAGCTCAGATGCTAGCCTTCTATAGGTTTTCTGCACTCCCGAGTGACCTCCAACCGCACTGCCGTGGAACTCCTGTAATAAGTGGGGAATGTCTATGAAGATTCGTGGCATCACAAACTTCCCCTGATACAACAGCCTCTCCCCCTCCATATAGTAACCAGGGTGGCAACCCTTGTCTTTCGTCAGATCCTCCTTGATCTTTTGTAACTCTTCATTCAACATGCTTTCTTCCTTGATGGCCCTCCAGTCGGCCATCAAATGTATAGACAACCAACTCTTGGAGCTCCCCAACACACCAGGATAAGGCATCAGCCGCTTTGTTCTCCAACCTCGGCTTGTACTAGATCTCAAAATCATAGCCTAATAGTTTGGACAACCATCTTCGATGCTCCTCGGTCACCATCCGTTGCTCCAACAGGTACTTCAAGCTCCTCTGATCCGTTCAGACGATGAAATGTCTACCCAAAAGATAAGGACGCCACTTCTGAATAACCAAGACAATGGCCATTAACTCCCTCTCATAAACTGACTTCAATCTCGCCCTTGTGGATAGCACTTGACTGCAGTACGCTATAGGTCTGTGGTTTTGTATCAACACTGCCCCAACTCATATCCTGATGCATCTGTCCCAACTACAAAGACCTGGCTGAAATCCGACAGAGCTAGAACTGGAACAATAGTCATGGCTTTCTTCAATCTCTCAAAAGCCTGAGTTGCAGTCTCTCCCTAAGAAAAGTTGTCCTTCTTTAGCTGCTCGGTCAAAGGCCATGCAATTGTGCCGTACCCCTTCACAAACCTCATGTAGTAACCAATCAATCCTAGAAAACCCCTCAACTCCCTTATGTTCCTAGGTAGAGGCCATTTCTGCATTGCCTCAATTTTGGTTTGGTCGGCTGCCACTCCTTGGGACACCACATGTCCTAGGTACTCCACACTCAACTGGGCAAAGCTGCATTTCTTCAGGTGGGCTCTCAACTGATGCTCCTGAAGTATTCCCAAAACCACCTTCAGGTGTCCAAGATGCTCCTCCACTGTCTTATTTTACACCAGAATGTCATCAAAGAATATCAGGATAACTTTCTAAGGTATTGCTTGAATACCCTGTTCATCAAAGACTGAAAAGTAGCAGGGGCGTTAGTGAGGCCAAATGGCATTATTAGAAACTCATAATGTCCTTCATGTGTCCTGATCGAATGTTGTCTCCCTCATTTTGATCTGATGGTACCCGAATTTCAAGTCTAACTTGGAAAACATCACCGCTCCATGTAAGTCATCCAAGAGCTTATCAATCACCGGAATAGGGAATTTATCTGACACTTTCCACTTATTCAACGCTCTATAGTCCACACATAATTGCCAACTCCTATCCTTCTTTTTGACCAAGAGGACGGGACTAGAGAAATGACTCGCACTCGGTCTGATGATCCCTACCTCCAGCTTCTCCCGGATCATACTTTCAATCTCATCTTTCTGTATATGAGGGTAACGGTAGGGTCTGACACTAATCGATGTCTCTCCTTCCTCCAAAGTAATGACATGCTCTAACTCCCTAGGTGGTGGTAGACTCTGAGGAGATTGGAAAACCTTGCTGAATTGTTGTATGAATGGCTGTACTAAAGAGGGAATGTTTCCCTCTTCTTCCAGTCTGACCCCCTCTAGGCGATGCAACTCTACCAAGTATCCTCCTCCCACTTCCTCTATGGTTCTTATCAAAGACTTGAGGGATACCCAAGTCTTAGTTAGCCCTGCATCACCTTGAATAACCATATTCTTTCCCTTATCCATCTGCTCCATCCTCAATGTCCCTCAATTCACCTTGGTATCTCCCAAGGACTGTAGCTATTTCATCCCCAGGATGACATCAGTGCTTCCAAGTTCCAAGGGAAGAAAGTCCTCCCTCACCTTGATCGCCTAAATCATCAACACCACTCCCTTACAAACTCCTCTGCCCATCTCTACCTTTCATGTGCCCATCATCACCCCATAGCCTCATGTATTGACTAATTCCATCCCAAGTCGATCAACAATCTGGATGGTAATGAAATTGTGGGTTGCCCCACTATTTATCAATACCACTACCTCTCTATCTGCTATCTCTCCCTTCACTTTCATAGTGTGACTGGGAGTGAATTTCACTACAGAGTTCAGGGATACTTCTGCCAAATCAAGATGCAACTTTTCCTCCTCCAATTCTAGCCCGCTCCCACCTCCCTCTTCAGCTTCCTCGTCGTCACAGACGGTGAGAACCTGAAGAGCTCGATCCTTGCATTTATGCCCCGGCATGTACTTCTCATCACACCTGAAAACACAACCCCTTGGCCCGCTTCTCTTGTATCTCCTTCTCAATCAGTTTCTTGAAATTTCCCCCTCCGAATCTCTCCTTCGGCACCTCCTTCATGCTCCTTTGCGCTGGTCCCCTGGGAGGTAAAAAGGTGGTGGTCATCCTGCATGACCCCTCTAAGTTGCTTCCCCTAGCCACTCTCTCCATCCTCCTCTGTTCTTCCACCAGCTGTGCCAACTCCATGGCTTTCCCTAGGTTCCTTGGCTCTAAGACTCTGACTATTGCTCGTATCTCCGATTTGAGCTCTTTCATAAAGTTTCCCTCCAGTGCCGTCTATGAGATATGATCCAGTCTGCTGGCCAAATACTCAAATCTATTGCGGTAGTCAGCTATGGTCCCCTCCTGAGTCAAGACAAAGAATTGCTCATAGAAGTCTCATCCCCTCTCAGTTCGGAAACGTTCTAGTAAACATTCATTAAACTCCCTCCAATTTCGGATGGGCTCCCTCCTTTCACGCCATTGATACCATGCAAGTACCTTTCCTTCTAAATATAATCTTACTGCCGTCAGCTTCTCCTCCTCCGTTAACCCATTGACGGCGAAGTATCGTTCCACTTTGTAGATCCAGCCATGGCCGTCCTCGCCCTCAAAGACGAGCATCTTCAGTTTTCTCACCCTTGGATTACCACCGTTCCCTCGAAATCCTCCATAACCTCCCATTCCCTAGAGGGTGGTGCTCCCCAATTTTCAAGTTCCTCTCTCCTCCGATTATGCCCAAACCCTTCATCGTACTCCCCTCTCCGTCCTCCAAAATCAGCACCCCGATGGTAAACTTCTTACCTTCTTCCAACACAATCGGCGCCCCTCCTTTCATATCCCATGCTCATCTCCTCCCTAGACAACAGTTCTAGCGGAGGCATGCCATCCTCTCCCTCAAGAACCTCCACTTCCGGATATTCCCTCCCCCTGAATGGGTACGGAATACCTCCCCTTCCCTGGACGCCGATGGTCTCCTTTGATTCCGATGTTGCCGGTTTTTGTTTGTCTTCAAGCATCTTCTTCATCAAATCTTCCAAGGCGGCGAACCTTCCATCTATCTTTTCATGAACGGCCACAAATTGACTTTGAAAATCTGAAATTTTCTCCTCAAAATCTGTCTTCAAGTGACCTATTTCTCCCTCCAAGACTTCAACGTTTCGTCCGACCATAATTCCTCCGATGCGGCACCAAAGAGATTCCTTTGTGTGAGCAAAAAAAACTGCTGAAATTACAGATTTTCAACCTCCGATGGTCCCAAGACAGCGCTCTAATACCAATTTGATGAGAAATACTTGAGTTCGCAAGTAACCCTAAGGTAATACTTGAGTTCTCAAGCAACCCTATCCCAAATTGGAGAGAAAACAACAACAAAACTGCTGTTTACAAAACAGCAGTTTAACAGCCCCAAACAGTGAAAAACAGCAAGAAATTGAATAGGAATCTAAAGAAAATCAAGCAAACCACTTGTATTCTATTAAAGATGAAAGAAAACAATAACCATACAAGATTCTTCAATTCAAGAGGAAGAGAACTCTACAAAATCTCTAGCCAAGAAGACTAGATCCCAAGCCTCCAAGAAGATCCCAAAACCAGCCCAAATTCAAGATGAAAACCTAAATCCCCACATTTCCCCTTCTTTAAAACCAATCCCCAAACAAAATTCATAAACAGCCATAAAAGGTTTTTAAAAAAAAAAAAATTTTTTAAAATTTTAAATTCCCCCCCCCCCCCCCCCAATTCAAATTTTCCCTCCAACACTTGAAGTCTTGAATTAAACCCCATCATGGGCCCCAAGACTTTCCCCCCTCCAACACTTGAATTAAACCCCATGTGGGGCCCGCCTGGAGTAAGGAGCCTAACAGTTTCCAATTTAATTTAAGGTTTTAATTGTTAGATTAATCAAGAGATAATTAAATAATTTGACTACTTAGATATTAATAATTTAATAGATGTTTGGTACAGTTCACTAATTAAAATCAGTGGTTAATATTTTAATTTGCCTAACCAATTAGTGACTAGATATTAACTTAAATTTATGAGGATTTTACTAAGCTATTTAGTGTTTATTTGTGCAGATTAGGGATTAAATAGACTTATTAGGTATAAATTAGTGAATTTATGGTTAACTTCTTGAATATTTACTAATAAATTAATGACTATGCTGCTCATTTGAGCTAATTACGTACTAATAAATGTTTTAGTTTTGATAAAATAGTGTTTAGCAGTGATTATTAGGGGTTTATTAGACTGTTTCAAGTCTGACATAGATTAATTCGTGCTTACAGTGCTCTCTTTGTGCTTTATCACTCTCTCTTCTCTTCCTCTCTCTTTCATTATCAATTCCTTAATCCTTTATTACTAGAAAAAAATGGATTATGGGATTAAGGAATGAGAGGAATTTTAATCCCTTAATCCATAGATTATTTGATTTTCTTTATCTAATCAACCTTTATAAACTGTTTGATAGGATTAAAGGATTAAGGGTGCTTTAATCCTGCTTACATCCAAACAGACCCTAAACTTATGCTTGCCAGCAACTTTTCTATTTAAACAGCTTTTCTTTCTACAGGCACAACCTTCTTTGTTTCCCCGGATATTCGGACATGAAGCTTCTGGGTTTTGCTCTTCAGCTCTTTTTTCCATTGGGGATCTTGTACATGTTGTATGCTAGTAGTAAGTAACTGAATTGCCTACATTGTGATTTTCTAGGGTTGTAGAGAGCGTGGGAGAAGGTGTGACCGAATTTGTGGTAGGAGATCATGTGCTTACAGTGTTCATTGGAGAATGCCAAAGCTGCAAGCACTGTTTTTCTGGAAGAAGCAATATATGTCAGAAGCTTGGTCTGGAACGTAAAGGGGTCATGCATACTAATAAAAAAACCCGCTTTTCTATAAAGGGCAGACCTATATACCATTATTGTGCTGTGTCAAGTTTTAGTGAGTATGCTGTAGTTCACTCTGGTTGTGCTGTTAAAATCAGCAAGGATGCACCAATGGATAGGATATGCCTCCTCAGCTGTGGAGTAGCTACTGGTAAAAATTTTTTATGCTTACAATTGGGCATTAGTAACCTTTTTTTTCGTATGTTACCCATCATTATAAACAATAACAAAATGAATTTTTGGCAGTGCATATGAGATTGTAAAACAGCTTTTTAGATATATGTATTGCAAAATAATTTGGTATCATTAGGAGACGCGTTATATAATTAGTAACAAACACATTCATATTTTGAGTTGATGTATCATAAAATATCTTTTGGTTTCTGTTCTCCTCAAAGTTTTAGATCATTGATCATTAGATGTTTTCCTAATTGAGATTTTTGATTAATTATGATTCATTTAGGATATGAAATATGTGTAAGAAGTGAACATTTAAGGTAATTTCATTGCACCGGTTGTTGGAAGTTCTCCTTTGTGTCGGCTGTTAGAAGTTATCTGTTGTGCAAAAAATGCAATCATGCCAAAGCCCTTTTCATCATTTTGAAGAAAGCTTTGTGAAAATTGAGAAGGTATATATATATTTATATATATATATATATATATATATATGTTCATGTCACATAGGCTTGGAAATGGAAATTTGAATTCTACAAAAGTCATAATACAAAATAGCTCAAAATTAGAAAAAGTAACAACCAACTAAAAGGTGAACTCTGTCATTAATTGGGATAATTCCCATATTTTCATATGTCGTATTATCCCCACATTGTCCACGTTACCTCTCAAGATGGTGGTGAATGAATATTTAGCATTCTCAGCTTATTAACTAGTTTTTTAATGCCTGATTTTTGAAGCCCTTTTGTTAGAATATATGTCAATTATTGGTTTGTAGGAGCATAAGTGATACTAATAACCCCTTCCTCACCCTTTTCTTTAATGAAGTGTCTATCTACTTCAACATATTTTGTTCGGTCATAATGTATTGGTTTTTGTATAATATTGATTGCTGCCTTGTTGTTATAAAACAAATTCATAAGATTTGTACTCTGCACTTTTAGGCCATCTATTAATCCTTTGAACCAGATTAAGCTAGTTCCCTAAAATCTCTTTTGCATGAATGGGGGAAACTGTTGAGTATTGGTTCTTGTTTAGCTAATTGACAAGGTTTCATCGTACTTTAGTACCTCCTCCCATCAATAGAGTTTCCTAGTTTGCATTTGTAAATTTTTTAGAGTAACCCTTTGTCAGGTGTAGATCTTAAACGTTTTAAGATATTGGAAATAACCTTTAAGCATTCCTCACATCGAGAGTGCATGTATTGGCATGTTATATTGACTATAAAGATAATTCTTGGTCTTATATAGGACAAATGTATTAGTATCCCAATCAATATTTGGTATCTCCCCATGAGTACAAGAATTATATCTTTAATTTCTCTATATTTTGTGTTTCACTCAATAGGTGTTGTGGCTAGTTTACACTAAGCATTCCAATTTATGTCAACTGATCAAGTATGTATTTACGATAGGAGATGAGGATACCTTTCTTGCTTCTTGCCACCTCCATTCCAAGGAAACACTTGGGTTATTCGAGATTCTTAATTTAAACTCCTTTCTAGGAGTAGTTGCTCAATTTCTTCAATGTCATCTTCAGTTGAGATAATGTAATTGATTTGCACAATAAGAATAATTTTTTTCTCTATCATGTGCATTTTGAAGACTAGTGGATGCCAGTTTGTCATCAAATATATTCATTTCTTCATATGATATTTGTTAAACATTCAAATTAAGCTATTGTTTATTGTATTAATTCATAGACTTCTTTAGTTTGCACTCTCTTTCATTTCTATTCTTTTTTTTCAAAACCAGGTGCCAAGTTGTGGGCTTTGAAATCTCTCATGACCTCTTGTGATCCATTTCTTCTTGCTCTTTTGGAATTCCAAGAAGAGATACAATGACTTTACCCAGACAAAAATTGAGCTATTTAATATTTATATTTGATACGTGTTATCAATATTTCCTATAACTGCAAGATCTCCAAGTCTCCATTTAGGAGTGCATTTTTTACATATAGTTGTTCCAGATGCCAGTTGTACTTAGTTGCTAGTGAGAGTAGAATTTTGATAGTGCTCATCTTGGCTATAGGTGCAAAAGTTTCCTGATAGTCAATGCCATATGTTTGAGTATAACCTTTCGCCACTAGTCTTGTTTTGTACCTTTCCAGTGTACCATCAATTTTGTACTTTACAAAAAACACCCATTTGCAGTCGACTAATTTTTTTCCTTTCGGAAGGTTGATGATTTCCCACGTATTGTTATTTTCTAGGGTCTGCATTTAATCTTTCATGGCATTTTTTCAATTTTCATCAGATAAGGCCTCAGAAATATTATTAGGAATCTGAATATCTTCTAGTGTAAGTGTGTAACAAGAAAATTTTTGTGTGAGGATGAAAAATTATTGAAGGAAATAAAGTTAGTTATGGGGTGCAAAGGAGATTGTGAATTTGTATTTATCTTAATTTTAGGAGATGGTTTAAATTCTTGGATCTACTTCGGAACACAATTTAGACTTGTACGCTTGGAATGTACATTCCAAAATCTACTGACAGCTTTTTCTTCAGTTTCATTGTTTTCGATTTCAGGAGGATTTGTTTGAGGTAGAGGAAAGTCAAGAGGAGCAAGCTCACTTTCCTCATCTTCCTCAATTTCAGTCTCCCTCTAAAGATGAGATTTGATAAAATAGGAATTTTGTTCATCATACGTAACATTAACAGAGACAAGAGTTTTTTTTTTTTTTGAGATGATAACACTTGCAACCTTTTTGTTCAGTTTCCATGTTGCTTCTCTGTTCATCACCATTGCTGAGCTTTCAACCACCTTTGGCTCTAACATCACTCATCGGTTTTCTTCAGCACGAATGAGAGAAATGGTTTCATTTAATGATGGTGTCTCCTCTTTACCAAGGATATGGACCCTTGATCAAATTCTGCATGTAGTCCTGCATGAAAGTCATAAACTCAATCTTTTTCAATAAATTTCTTTAGGATAGCAACATCTGCTGGACATCTGGTTTCTATACATTTGTAGTGATCAAGTTCTTGCCATAGGTTTTGTAGAAGAGTTCCATACTCTGTCACTATCTTGCTTCCTTATTTTGTGCACCATACTTTGATCTTAATTTCAAAGATTTGAGCAGCATCCTAAGCTTTTGAAAAAAATTTGTTTGGAGCCATCCCATATGTCCTTTACAATGGAAATGAACATAAATGTATTGCTAATTTCTGGAGTCATGGAATTCCAGAGCAATGACATAATCATGGAGTCTGTTTCATCCCATACCCAAAATTTAGGATCTCCTTCTTTTGGTCCTTCTCTGAGGAGGTGATGTAATTTCCCTTTTCCTTTTAAGTAGTTCTTCACAAATTGAGACCACTTTAGATAGTTCTTCCCATTTAAACGATAGGAAGGTTGCATGTTTTGGAGGTCACCTCATCCTTAGTGCACCATAAGATCCTCAAATTGGTCAATGCTCTGGAAAGAATTAATTTCTGACATTATGGTGTCAAATGATAGTAATGAAGACTATCTGTAGGATCTTGGGTAGCAATGAAGGTTTCTTGGAAAATTTTCCTTCGATCTTTAGTTACGACAATAAAGGCCGATTTTTTAATATATATATCTTCTTCTTTTTTTTTTCTTTCTCACCTCTTTTTTCTTAACTTTTTTTTTCTCTCAAACTTCTCGGTTTAATAAATCGAATTGAGCCAAATTTTTAAAAGACTCAGATCAAGCAGCTAGGCCACGTAAAGGGCCTTCTTCCGCATGCATGAGTCGCTCCCGGCTATGTCCCGTAGGTTTTCCGGCTTCGGCGTGCAGTGTCTAGTAGAATCGACATACATGGAGCTGAGGGCAGCGTCAGCCGCCTATCTTCCTCGGTGATGGCTTGCAACATTATGCAGAAGCCCCATCTTCGCCTATTGCTTGTGTACGCACGGAGGACAGTATGTAATAGATCTTCAACAGCAATGAAGGCTGCCCTGTTTTCTTCAATCCGACTCTGATACCATGTTGAAATCAATAAGTTTGAGAGGGAAAAGCAGTTTTATTATACAATATAATCCCTATTTATTGGTCTATACAAGATGCCTTATTAAGAAACAAATAACTACAGAATAATGAGTAATACAATCCTTCATATATCAATTGCCTAGCTATGAAAGGTTTTCAGCATGATTCAGGTGGGCCTCCCACAGATCTCTATTCATAGCTGTGGGATCAATTTGGGAACAAGAGGCTAGGATTTAACAATAATAATTTAAGCCACATAGAAAAAGGAGTTTTGATGAATAAAAAATTGATTCTGAACATTAAGCAACACATTATTATGTCCCTACAACTAGAGCAAGATTAAGAGTTCAAGATGAGATCAAGGGCTATGATGGCTCTCTCATAAGATCAGGATCAAGGACTAAGAGTGATTCATTCAACGCGAAAAAAAAAATCCAATTTTGAAAATATTTGAATTTGAATGCATGGTTTAAAATTGAAATTTTCAAAATTTAAAATTTTCCCTCAACGTGGGAGGCTTTATTTATTTATTTGCCTTTAATTTATATTTTCTTTGTTTGGAGGCCACTAGGGCCAGCCCCCTTGATTAGTGAGTATAATTGAAGTAGTTTCACTCTACTTTCATATTGCTTCATTATGTTTGAATTATTCCCTCATTTATTCGTTTCTTTGAATTTCAGGCATTATAATTTGATGTAATTATTAAATATTTATTTGATGAATAAAAAATGGCTTTTGGTGTTTTGATAAAATTTTAAGAGTAAAAATTCTAGAGTTGTGTTATGGTGGCCAACTCTTCCATTTTGGGTTCTTTTGGGTGGAAGACTTAGGTACGACCCTTCTTTCTTGTTGACCTTTCAATCAACCTCTCATACTTCTTCGCAATATTTCTAGCATTATTCTACAAATTTTCTCCCCATTCTATTGCAATAAAAAAATTATGGAAGGCTTTCAATTCTGTCAAATTAGGACACTCCTTATGTTAGTCTTGCTGTCTCTTCCACCATCCTATAAACCTCTTGGA